GTGGGGGAGGTTCTGTGGCCTGCAATGTGCAGGAGGTCAGACTAGATGATCACGATGGTCCCTTGTGACGTTAGAGTCTGTTTGAGTGCGTCACTGGTTGAAGCCTTGCACAGGGCTAGGTCATCTGCATACCTCATGATCGTGCTTTTACTCAGACACTGCATTGCCTGGTTACGGTTGTTAACCTTCTAACAAAGGGTTGTGCGTATACGTGTGTGACATGTAACGCCCAGTCAAGTCTGACCAATCATTAGGCCCTCTGGCTTCTAATGAGTTGAGATGATGCAAGTAATAGTGGTGGTAAATCCAAACAAGTGTTTCTGTGAGTTCTGTTTTACAAAGTCATTGGTGTGCTCTCACATGTTGAGTACTTGGGTTTAAAATATGTCCAGCCAAAGGGAGTCTGATCTTAAAGAACAATTAATAGTTCTACACGCTGCAGTTCTTGATGTGCTATTTAATTTGAAAATGGGTTGTGCCGCTTTCTGTTAGGTGATGTCTGTCATTTTGCAAACGTAACTAAATTAATTTTGGGAATAAATGTCAGATCATCACTGTCAGGGCTAGAAAAATTGACTTGTCCCTGGGGTCCAAGCCGTCAACTTTTTTAGAATCTAAGCTTTAATTTAAAAAAAAAAAAAAAAAAAAATCTAGCCATTACGGTTGGGAAGAAAACCATTCAAAATGTGTATGAGTGCAGAGTCCTGTTCCTGAGACTGCTAGCAGGTCCACTGCCTCAACTGCTGCTTCTAGATTTCTCAAGCAGCAAAGTGAAACTGACAACAGTTCCATTGCTGCTCTTCAGAACCCAGTGGGCAACAGTGAAAGTGACAAGAACGATGTTAAGTTTCACTCTGAAGCATCTTGGGAAGGCAGTCCCTGCTTTGGAGCTCTTGCCCCTGGACTTCCTTTGTGTGAACCCCTCCTTCACCCTGAAAAATCTTTCATGTTGACCTCTGGCAGGTAGATGTCAAATTTTTCACACCCTGATTTTTAACAGTTCCCTCTGCCTTCATGTTGGCATCTGCTATATCAGTAATGGTTTCCTCTGCCCTCTT